AGATCTTCCTATTTTCATAGAGCATCACCTGCTGTGGTTAATCAACAATCGTAGTCCTAACTCAGTTTTTCGTCCCCATTGGACTTGAACCGGCAACCTTGCGATTGGTAACCTGGGAGCGTAACCACTTCACTATCGACCCGCAGGTCTCAATATAAATTTTGTAGAGTACTGATATATTAATATTCTTTTATTATTTTACTATTTAATTTTTTTTTAAAAAAATAACTTCTTATACTAATTTTTATTATGCATAAAGTAATACATAGTATGTAATACTGTATCTAAAATTCTAAAATTATTTTTTATAGTAATACTTTTTCTCTTCTATGTATTCAAGTTAATTGATTCTAAGATTTGAAGAAGTCAGTGTAATATTTTACGCAATGTGTTTACTAATTTATTTATTTTATAAAAAAAAAAAAAAATTATAAAGCAATATTGTAAATTATTGCCTTAAAAAAATCCATAACTGTACGATTTGGTTGGTCATTTAATATAGTTATGATTCAGTTTTCATGATCAATTGATTTTTTTTTTGCCATGATCACTGCTTACCTTGAAGAATTTTCTTAATTTCATTATCAACATTATGTTGTTCTTTCTAAAATTCTTTAATTATTGTATAGACTCCAACATGTGTATGACCAACTAAAGAATCCCAACATTAATGCCATGCTTCAACCTAGTTCTGTGTTTTTGGGATGCCAGCTTTGACTAAATCAAACACAGACCACAATGTTGAAGAGAATAAAGGTGCACTTCATGACACATTGCCATTTCGATATATTCGACATACTCTTTCATAAACATAATACTCCTCAAACCATTGAATAATATTTCTTGCTTCAGGGGTATTTCTACCTTTAATATGTCAAATGTAGCAGAAATGTTAGCTGGTGGTAGAAATGCTAGAGCAAATAATTGGCATATTTTCAAATTTAAATGATTATCAGTACCATATTAAACAGATAAGCCTGACTCTTGTACCTTTCTCCAACTACTTTGTGCAAAGTGAAAAAAGCAGCCTTTGTTTGTTACACCTAGAAATGCATTACAAGATGCATTAATGGCTGCAATCTCAAAATTAGTGATAATCTTTAACATTCTTAATATAAATTCATTTTCTGTCACAAAGTTGTTTAGATCTTGAAACAACTGCATATAGAGCTCTTCTGATTTAGTGCTCATAAGAGCATAAATGAGTGAAAAGATCTGAGAGTTTTCACTTAGACCAACAGGAGCATGGATAGTATAAAGCTAGTGAAACACTATAGGGACAGTTCGAAATGTTCATCCATCACCTAAAAAAATGCTTGAGACAAATGTTATACATTAGTTTTAGTTGTAAATATAAGAACCTGACCTAGTCCAACTTGTGAATCTCTAATAAGAAACAATTCTTCCTTTAAAGTATATTGAAATAAAAGTGGCACATTGACTTCATCAAGAGTTTGAGATTGTGGAGGCATTTCAGAACTTCTAATGTGCTTTATTCTTATATGAAGTGCATCATTTGAAGGCATATTAGATACCAAATTTTCATCAACAGAAGCAATATTATTTTGGATAATCTGAGCAAGTAAGTCATGAGTTTCTCTTGTTTGTCATTTAATATGTTTAACTATTACAACCACTTCACTACTACTTGCTTGAGGGGGGTGTTTTGCTTGGCAATTTTTTTAAGAAAATGTTAACCATTAGAAAAGATAGTTACTGCACAGTCTGAACAGTTTTCAGATCTTTTTTTCTCACAGCTCCAGTAATAAGTATTTTCCACCGAGCATTCTTTAACTAACAAGAAACTATGAACATTTAGTTTTACTTTTCCTTTTTGAGAGATAACAGTTTTGCAAATTTTGTTCATATTGACATGTTCAAGAGTAAAAGGCTTCTAAAAAATTTTTTTACTTATATATTTAATGAAATATTACAACACCCCTAACTAAAACAAATTAAGTATAACAAGAAATTTTAGAGATAATAGAAAAATTAGATAAACCTTCCAATTATGCGATCAATAGAGATGAGCAAAATTGATATGTATTCTTATCTGATATTACTTAATATTATTTGATTTTTTTGCAAATAGATAATAGTAAATAATTTTATAATCATTCTATTTTTAGTATCAAATTTACTCTTAACCTCAGTTATGATCACTTACTTTTAACCATTATCATATATTAATATTAAGTAAGAGATAAGTAATAGGTCCACTTACCTCAATTTAAGGTTTGAAATGAAATGATCGATACTTTGAGTTCATTATACATCAAAGCAAGATATCAAAATTATATTTTATATGATATAATTGTAAGGATTTAATTTTATTCGCTTTTAATTTTAATAGTATATAGTGATTATTTGCTATGATCAAGTAAAAAAAAAATTCTATTTAACAATAATCTTTGCTAAACAACTGCAATTCAGTCTTATGATTTCTCTGTGTTGAACAAAACATAAAAGGTAAATACTGTAAATTCTTTATGTGCATAGTTTAGATCCTTATAATATTAATTCAATAAATATATAATTTAATATATAATGATGGTTTTTGTGCTTTTTCAATAGGTACAAAAATAGAGAAAGTACATGTTTACAACAGAGATTAGCTGAAAAACTAGGATTATTTTTTTTATGACTTTATTAATAAACTATTTAAATAAACTATTTATGTTTTTATGAATTATTTATGTTCGCTGTATCTTAATGTAAATTTATAAAATATGTTGCTTATATTAATGAATTGGATTTATATTATATTTAATTACCTATAAATTGAAAATTTTAAATTGTTATTTATATTTCATTACAACTCGACTAAATTAATTAGCTTCGAGATTACTAACTTGAGATTATTAATTTGATCAATATTATTAATTTAAGATTATTAATTAGGATTATTGCTTTCAAGATTATTAATTCAGGATTATTACTTTTAGGATTATTACTTTTGAGATTATTATATTCAGGATTATTATATTAGGGATATTTTTTTTTCAAGATTATGATTCTTCAGGATTATGATTAATCAGAATTTTTTTTTTCATGATTTATTCTTCAAATTAATGCACTATCAAAATTTTGCTCTTTTAATATTTTGAGCATTGGGATATAGTATCATCAATATTTAGTTTATTAGGATTTTAAATGAATCTCATAATAGTTAAAATCAATAGTATCAAATACAGTTGTTGTCAAGGTTAGCATTTTGTTCTAAAAAAAAATTTATAAATATATTTTATAAAAAAATTTGTTTAATTTAGAAGTTTCTAAACTAGTTAAAAAAGTTTAAAAAAATGTATAGGCTTTAGATAAGCTAATTAAATGCTTAAAAAATTCTAATAGATGTTAGAAAAATAAAATTTAAAACAATCTTGTAAATTTTCCAAAATACAAATAAAAAAACCTGCAAAAAGCAAGTTTTTGTTTTTACTTTTTGCTTGTATCTTTATATGTTTTAGTCTATTTTAAATAAATTTTATATCAAAATATTTATTTTAGTAAACTAAACAATAATTTTTTTTTTAGTATTAAGATAACCTTTTTGGTCTTTTGACTTTTATTAATTACTTATCAGTATTGTGGTTTAATAAACCACTATAGAAAAGTGTACAATTGGCTATATGTGTAACTTTTCTATATTATCTATTTAAGAAGTTTGCTCAAAAGTTTCCTACCAATTGCTATACTTAATACTTCTACTTGAATGTTTTACTTTAAACTCTCTAAAACTATAATCTGTATTAACTCCCTAAGTTATACTCAGATGCTCAGATCATTATTTTAACTTTAAGACTAATTTATTCTTAAGGTAAACCCTTTAGAGCCTTTTGTATCTATTTTTATAACTGACCTAGGTATTGCTATAACAGAACTAATACTTTTGATCAGAACTTAACCATTAAACCACTATGCTTTTGTAGAGTTCACTTAGACCTAATATCTACTTCACAGCATAACTCTGATACTTTAGTATACCTCTAAATTTTATTAGAGTTCTAATCCAAATGGCTTATATAGAACTAGAACCATCTATTAGTATATTAGGTTAGCTCAATATCCTTTTTCTTCAGTTTGTTCCAGTGGCCTGGTTGGTAGTATCTTTGAGACTCCCAACCTGGAGGTTTTTGCCCTTCCAGTTACTAAGTCTGGGTATCTGTTTCTTCAGACTAGCTTTACAGTAGCACCATCAAAGATCCAATTAACTCTCTACTTGGAACTTCTCAAATAAACTTTTTGTTACTTAATTTCAACAAATTTTTATAGGCACTAGGACTTATTTAGTGTTTGCACTATCTGATTTGTTAGTTTGCATTTATCTGTATAACTTCAATATTGTACAGATGTCCTATAACTTGCCAGTTATGCTGGTGTGACCACCATTATAGGTACTCTAACCTAATCATTAGTAACAGTTGCTATAATACAAATATTACATAGGTAATTATCCAAATTTTTGCTGTTGATGGAATTTAGACACTGAACTTATTACTTGGAAGATTGACAATCTGACTATTTTACTAGATCATCATATTCTAAACTAAACAATATTTGAATAAATAAGAAAATAATTTAATTAATAAATTTTGTATGAATAAACAAAAACCAAAAAATTGGTTTTTAAAATCTTTCCTAACAGCTAAGTGTTTTTGAAACTTAAATACAGCTATCTTGAAAGAGAAAAATGTAATAAATAACTTTACTTAATAGGTTAAATAAAGTTTACTTAGTAGAAAGTTGAAAATAATTAAATAATTTTTTTGTAATTTTAATATAAATGATTTATAAAAAGAGTTTTGTATTGCTTTTAATAAATTTAATAATAAATCTACTTAAGATTTATTTTAAATATAAATTTCAAATAACTTAAAAATTTTAATTATAATTTCTTATTATAACTAAATATAATAAACTTTTATTATATTATTATATAAATAATTAATTTTTATAGTTTTATATCCTGAATATTGTTTTTTATATTACTTATTTCTGTATTTGTATAAGTTATTAAATTGTTATATACTTTTTAAACATATTATCATAATGGCTAAATAAAATTAAACTGGATGCAATTAAATAAAAAAGAAGAAGAAGTATTAAATAAAGACTGTTTTAATATATATAATTAGTTATTATCAACAAAACCAGATCTTTTAAAAATCTGGTTTGTTATTCTTGCAGCATCAGAATGAAAAAAGTAAAGATTTGTATAGACAGTGCAATAACAATTGCAAGTCTTAAAAATAAAAGAAAACCAATTTAGCAAGCAATAATTAAAAAGAAAAAATTACAATTTATTAGAAAACATTGGAAATATTATAAAATTAAAAAATTTAAAAAAAAGTTAGTTAAAATTAAAAGCTACTTATTAGTAAAGAAAATAAATAAATAAATCTAGTTATCAAATAAGTTGAAGTATTTAAAAAAGCAAAAGAACTTTACTAAAACTAGTTTAGATTATATTATTTTAATTAAATATTTGTAAAAAAATTTGAAATGAAATATATAAATCTAAAAAATTTATTAAATAAAATTATACAATGATCTTAATAAAGATATTTCTAAAAAAAAATAAAACAAATAGCTTCAAGAACTAAAAAAAAAAACAGTATTAAAAATGTTAAACATTACATATATGCTAATTCAAGTACAGAAATTAAAGTTTATAAAAAATTTAGAATATTTACTAAATCTGTATTAAGCCTAATGCAATACCAAAAAAATGAAAATATTACAAATTTATCCAATACTAAAAAAAAATGAATTGCATTATAATTTTAGTAATGTTAGATTACTACTAAAAACATTTTAAAAATATATAATAAAAATTTTAACCAAAAGATTAGCCAAAATATTTTGTTAAAAGAATATTCTTAAAGGCCTAAAGTTTACAGAATTTTAAAAAATTTAACAGAAGAGCCTGTTTATATTGTTACAGATTAAAAAAAATATAACAATTTATACATAATATTATATAATATGAATATTTAAAATGCAAAAATTATATATGCATAATTGACTTTACAATTGCAAAACATGTATAATTATAATTTCAATACCAAAACAATTAAAATAATGCAAATATGTTTAAATTAGAAGAGGCATTATAATTGTAAAGAATATAATACTTAACTAATTAAGTAAAATTCATGTTGTATAAAGGCAGAATAGTAAAAAAAATAGAAAAAAAGCTATAAATAATTAAAGAAATTGGTTTTTTTTTATATATATTAAACTAGCCTCTTTGGAGCTAAGGCTTTTTATTCAGTAATTAGAATATAGGAACTTATAGCTGAGGCTGCAAGGGAGCTATCTTTACTTGGAGAGTACACTAGCTACTTGTATACTTTTGGTGTTTAATTTAAATAGTTCACTGATAGTTTTACACTAGCTGTCATATCAGCAATTCAACTAAAAGCATTGTCTATTTAAACTCTCTGTACTGCAATTCTTACTTTATTACTAGATTATTTCTAATACATATATCAGTCAAGAAGGTCTAAATGCTTACCTATAACTTAGACTCCATATCTTATTTTATGCAGTATATTCTCAGAAACATTGTTACTAGAGCTTTGCATGTTCTACATATAGCTAATCTAGTTTTATGTAATATGCTATAAATATCTAACACTTGCAGTCTGAGCTAACCTTAAACCACTACATTATACTATTTCTATACTTATAAAGTTTATCTAAACTCCAGTACTTATCTTTTTAGCATTTTTTTTATCATCTCTTATTAGCCACAACTCAGAACTAGCAAATTTTTTAGACTTTTAATCCAGATGGCCTGGTATAGTATATCTTAGTATTCTTTTTTTCTAATGATTCTGGCACCCTAGTTGGTCTTGACTCCTT